TAAAGAGGGAGTTTTTGCTGTGTCGGAGTCAAGATGTTGTTTTCTCTCCATACACTACAATTTCTCACACTTGTATTGTTGTTCCAGCTTAAGAGGTTGTCAACTTTGTTGACTCTGTCCTTGGCCAGGCAGGAAAGGAGAGTCTGTGTCTGTAGTGGATGTACCATGAGTTCTGGTCCATGGGAGCTTATCTGTGCTGCAGTGCTACCACTTCCATGGCAGAAAACCAGATATATTTTGGTTTTCCCTTCCAGGTAAGAATGCTGCTATCCAGCTAGGAGACACATTGGAACAGATTTTTATCCTGTTTCTATAGTAATACAGCATTTCTTCTTTGAAAATGACCAGCATTATATTTCTCTTGCTGGTATTTCATGACACATCCTTGTAGATGTAACTCAATTCTGGGATTGAAATGGTAAGCTTCTTCCAAGTGAAATGCAAAAAATTAAAGCTCTGTTGAGTCCTGTAAGAATACTTTAATCTCTGCAATAGGTGCTTTAAATAAAACTGAAGAAGAACATTCTATGGAGCCTGAAAGGCACGGTATAAGAACCAGATTTTTAAAAAGTTGTGTTTCTGCCATGCTCAGTAGGTATTTTTTCAGAAAAAAATTAAGCTTTTATACAGTTACTATTTTTATACATATATATCATAGAATCCCAGACTGGTTTGGGTTGGAAGGGACCTTAAGGCTTATCCAGTTCCAACCTCCTGCCACAGGCAGGAACACCTTCCACAAGACCAGGTTGGTCCAAGCCCCGTCCAGCATGGCCTGGAACTATTTACTGTCTTCAGTTACAGGACTCCAAGTACAACAAATCACTGGGTTTTTACAAAAGTAGTTGACTGTCCTCAGTTAAAAAATCCTGCATTGTGAAGTTCTTGCCTCCAAGCGAACAATGGGAACTAAATTTTCATGCTTGTTGAGTTCTAACCCATTGAAATGTTGTTGGTTTCAGATCATTATCTAAAACTAGTTTCAGGTATTAAGTGTTTCACGCTGATGCTTTGATTCATGGAAAAATCAACAGCAACAAAACACAGAACAACTTTGTGCCACTGGTTTGATCGTTGGTTCATGCCCCTTTCCCACCAAGATGAAGTTTTAAAGCTTTTCCAATTCCTTCATGTTGGGCTTCCATGGTAGTTTGTGGACAGCTTTTAGGAAGTCTGTCAACTTGCCCCTGCTGTAAGACCTCAATGTGGCTGAGCATCGCAGTGGTCAAACTGGTGAGTTAAAGACAGAGATTGAATACAACTTATCAAAGCTATCTGTGTGCTGTCCATCTCCTGATGGAAGCCTTATCGTTTGACTGGGCATGTATCCATCTCCAGCACTGTGGTCCTGTGTCCTAACCAAGGAAAGTGTATGTGTGTGTACTGTGAATTACGTGGTCAGAGGCTGACGGTGTTGGACACCTCTTTTGTTGTGACGGTGACACCTGATACATCCCACCTGGGATGTATCAGTTTGTGTTCCTCACGTGAGGAGCCCGCAGTTATGGCCTGACTTACGTGTGCTCCTGCCCAGTAAGTGTGTTCATTACCATCTTGAGGACTGTCTGTTTGCTCACATGAATAAAATGCAACTCTGATGATGTGGTCTGGAGGAGGTGCAGCCTGTAGCCCTTCAGTGGCTCTTTGAGAAACTGTCTGTCCTGTTTTGGGCCAAATGACTGAGGCCTGCTTTTGTTCCTGTCATTGCACTGCTCCAATATTGGTTTAAGTACTTTGGATAAATGTTTCTGGGGTGATACTTTTAGGCAAAGCTAAATAGCAAAGATCTTGGAGGTTCATCTTCCTTTTTTGTGAAGTTGTGACAATGGAAAGGATTGGCTCGTGTTACGAATCTGGTAGACTTATTCTGCTAAGGAAACCATGGACAGTGTGCCAGTGTGCCTCACGGAATGATGGTGGACAGTGAAATTAAAGGGATTTTCCAGTGAGTAGCAAGCTGTGCTTTACTTTGTCCGTGTTTCTTCTTTCTTGTTTTCTCCTTGCATTTTGGCAGAAGAGAACAGGTTTTTCTTGCCTTGAGAACTCTGTTGGAGCAGCTTGATATGTAGATAGCTGTAGTCTGACTCGTATCTCACATGCCCCTTGGTTTTTTTTCCCCCAAAACCAGATTATTTGGCTAGACACAGACAAACTGGGGAAGAACTGAATTTAATATTTCTTTTTCTGTCAGGAAACGGAGAGCTGAGAGTGTGTGTAAGAGAGGAACTTCACAAGAGAAAGTTGCATTACTGCTTTTGACTCTTTAATGTGAAGAGAGAACTAGGATACAAGTGCAGTTGGTGAATAGCTTCTAAAGCTCAGAAGTTCAGTGTTCTGGTTATGAACTGGGCTCAGTCTTTTCTGATATGGATAAAGGATAATCAGATCTTCTTCCTTCCTACATGTCTGTTGGCTGTCATGTACAGGTAGGGTATCTTTCAAATAATCTTAGATTTACCTGAGGTGGGGCAAGGCTGGAGGCAGTCACCCCAGAATTTTACTTCATAGAGACTTTAAGTTGTTTTTTTCTTTAATCTCCCTTTTTTTGACAAAGGAATATAGTTTTAGGTGAAAGGAGGACTTTCTCTAGAGCAACTGAAGTCAAGATGTCACCAGGAATCTGGTATCTGAGCGTTAGGACTGTTAAAACCCATTTAGCTACCAAAATTCCTATGTGTTTTGTTGACAGAAGGAGGCTGTGATGGGTATTAGGGCTCTGGTTTTTTCCAGACTGCAGTGAGTGTAGTTCATAAGCTTGGATGATTTAACCTTACCCGAGTTAGCTGCGTATGGTACAAATGGTGCAGTACAGTAGCAAAGACCTTAGGACAGATAAACTTCTGAACATTTGTCCAGCAACCCGGGTGGGTTATGCAGCCTATGAAGAGCTGTATGCACTTAAAACTATAATGCTGCCAAAATCCTGGTTGCCTTGAGTTGTCTGTATGAATTACAGTTACAGCAGTGACCCCAGTGGCAATATATTCTGTTTTAATACAGAAATGTGCTTCAACTATGAGAAGAATATATTCAGCGAACAAAATGAAGTTGTTATTTGTATGTCAGTTTTCAGGGAGTGTGTTTCTCCCTAATGATTTAGAATTAAGGAGGATCCATTCCCAAATGTTGAGTGATTGACTCATATGACCTTGGGCAAGTTACTCATCCACCTTGAGCTTTGGTTTTCCCGGTTGGAGTATTAAGTAAACAACGAGAAACTTGCTGAAAGACAAATGTTGTGATTGAGTTGAGGCTTCCCTGCTTTCTGTTGTTTCACCTTCTTACAAAAAAGTAATTTTCCATGATTTTTTTTCAACTTGGTATTTGAAAAATTCACTCTAAATCTGCTTCTCTGAGCTCTGGAGCTAATGTTCAAACTGAGAGACTTTTAAGTTCCAGCCTCCTCCCCAAACATACACCTCGCCTTGTCCTACTAGGTCTGCTGCTGCTATTTCCATGAACCATCTAGAAGATCAGGTCTCCTGGGAAGCTGCAGTCTACCCCTCAGATAAAAATAAGATCTCGCTGCTACCTATGCAAGCATTAAACAAATAGTGGTGTTTTTTCCTGAAGATCAGCTGACTGTAGACTGTTAAAAAGAAAAGATCAGAGCAATTGACTGAACCAGTCCCTCTGTCCTGAAATCAGGGAATGCTGTTGCCCAGGCAAGTGGTGTGAAATTCTTCTGGTAATTTATGCTGGCTCTACATAACAACCTCTTGCTTGAGTGCTGAGATCTTGAGGTTTCCCCTGTTTTTTCTTGGATGGGACAGTTTTCCCCAGGGGTTAGTGGACTACGTTGTGGAGACTGCAGGTAATATTAAAATAAGCATACTTGTCTTGAGGTTTGTTTAATGAGCTGCTTTTCTGCCATCTGAGAGAACTGTTGTTTCAGAGAACCACACTTCAGACGGGTGGCTTTTTGTGAGGATTCTCCTCCTGTGTCCTGCTGAGATGTTCAAAGGCATCTTGTACAGGTCAGGGGAGCTGATGGGAGCTTTCCCTCTTTACATGCCCTGCTCTGTTTGAGCAGTGTCTCTGCCCTACAGGTTTGTCTGCGTTGGTGTAACGTTCCAGCACAAACAAAGCACAGCTTTTCTTACAGAATGCACCTGAGGGGAGGAAAAGTTTATAGTCATCTTTGATGTGTGCATGAATTCTGCTTTCAGATGTTTTTGAGGTCAATGGAAAGAACTTCGTATTTGAGAGAATGCTGCCAGGAAAGAGAAGTTGAACAAAGACTCTTGAACTCGGGTTGTAAAACTGTTGCTGTACCCTCTGGTTGCTTCTAGGTGGCACTGCAAGAAAAAGAATACATGCATTCACCAGCTCTGAGAAGCCAACTGTTGAGCTGGTTGGGGCTTTGGTGGTCATAGTACAGAGAGGGGCAGCTGGCAAATACTCTAGGAGAAAAGAGGGAAGGAATAAACCTACTGTGCAGTGATAGAATTGACAGAACTCTGAACTGCATTTCACATTGGTGTGGAACAGTGGTCACTTAGTAACAAACCCGGTTTGCTTTAGTACCAAAAATGTGATTATGTACAAAAATCATATATGTAGTTCTCTATAAATTGCAATCACAAGAGAAGTGGTTCTCTTTTTCTCTAAATATTTCAATGTGAGACTGCTTTACAAAGCAGTCTTACAGAACAATGATACAGGTATTTATTCTCATCTAAAATTTGAATCTTAACATTCTTCAGTATTTTCTTAATTTTGACTAGGAAAAATCTTACTATATTCCAGTTCACAGCCATTTCTCAACTTTTTGTTGTCAAACAGCAGCATTTGGAAGGAGGGGGCTCTGTTTGATATAGTATATGTTTTTGAAAGTTTACCCTAAGAGCTGATCTTCTCAAAGCAAAGATGGGATTTTCTTCCTAACCTTTTTTTCCTAAGATGTTTTATTCAGGGCTAGACAATGTTCTGGCAAGAAATAAAAATCCTCATCTATGAAGTGTAAAACTGAGTAACTAAAACCTTCCTTTCTTTTTCAGCAGCTCCATGAGACTGTGAAAAGAAAGCTTGATAGTGCTGCTTCCCCTCAGAATGGAGACCAGCAGAATGGCTATGGTGATGTATTTTCTGTGTCCAAGAAGCTGCGTCGTGATGATGGCCTTGGTGGAGTGAGTGGCTCTTCCAATGGAATGCCCCCCGTGTCTCCACTCCATCATCTTGACAAGAAATCTGGTGGTGGAGACACCTTACAACTTAACGGAAAGCATCCCATGGGGTTAGATGGCATCAGCAAGAAGTGTCTTCCAGATTCCAGCCTACAGATGAACGGAGGTGGTGATGCTGATGACTCATTTCCTCTGACTCTGAACAAAGAGCTGAAGCAGGAGCCCGTAGATGATCTTCCATGTATGATTGCTGGGGCAGGGGGGTCTATATCTCAGAATAACTTGATGCCTGATCTTAATCTTAACGAGCAAGAATGGAAGGAACTTATTGAGGAGCTTAATAGATCAGTGCCCGATGAAGACATGAAGGATCTCTTTAATGAAGACTTTGAAGAAAAAAAAGATGCAGATTCTTCAAATTCAGCTGCACAGACTCCATTGCCACAAGATATTAACATAAAGACTGAGTTTTCCCCAGCGCCCTTTGAACAAGAACAGATGGGATCTCCCCAGGTTCGGTCCACTTCTTCAGGTCCAGCATTTATTGGTGCTGCTTCTGTACCTGTAAGTGCCGCTTCTCCAGCGGTTGGTAGTTCTCAGGCTATGTTTCAGCCTTCCAGTCAGTCAATGACTGAAAATCCTAATCAACCCATGATGCAGGCATCAAACCACTCTCAGAACGTCCAGAGGCCTCTCCCTAATGTGTTGTTACCTGGGAAGGGTGCAGGAAGTGCCAAAGAAATGTCTTCTGCTCATCAACTTCAACAGATAGCTGCCAAGCAGAAGAGAGACCAGATGCTGCAGAACCAGCAACAAGCTTCACAAGTCCACCAAACAAATCAGATGTCCACGTGGCAACAGTCTGGGCCTTCCCATAGTCCACTGGCTGTCCCATATACCCTGGAAAATCCCACCAGCCCATCAGTTTTCCAGCCTGACTTCAACAATCAGAAACTCATGATGCCTAATATGGGAAATAAAAGCTCACCGAGAGCTGGAGGCAATTACCATGTGAACATTTTGGGTCATCAGCAAAACAGCTTGAACCAGAACCCTGTGAATAGTCAAGGCTCTATGCTAGACTATGGGAACACCAAACCTCTTTCACATTACAAAGCAGAATGTGAACAGGGGGTGACAGTACCTGGTCAGAACAAGGCGCCCATGTTGGCATACATACAACAGCGCCAGCAGCCACCGCTGTCTCATGTGAGTGATGACCAAAATGGGATGATCCTGTTGAAACCCAAGCCTGGAAACATTGCTTACCGACTGCCGCACAGCCAGGTGAATGTTCTGGGGTTTGTTCCTTTGTTTAGGAGCAGATTTAAGGTCTTGCAAGAGCATGTTGGATAGATAAGGTTAGAGTACAGATTACTTGGTGTTGTTTCGAGACAGTTGCCTTCTTTAAAACGTGGTTTTAAGAAGGAAATTACAGTATGCAATAGGATGAAACAAGAATCAAGAACTCTGTTTTCCACTGGGGACAATTATTAATACTCAGTTCTAGGTCATGTGGTAATGTGTGATTTCCAGCTTAATATACTTTGTGGGTGACAAATTATGTCACACTTCATAGAAGCTTCTACTTACAAAGATAAATAGATGCTTTGTAAACTTTTGCCTAAAATAACTCTCATAAGACTGTAGTGTTAAGCAGTGTTCTCAAAGAAGCTTTGATTTCTTTACCTTGGTTTCAGTCCCTACTTGTGTCAGAGTTGGCTTACTATAAAAAGACATGCCTTCAGTTGCTGCTTTTTTGAAGAGAAATGGAAGTGGGGGCCGCATTCCTGATTTCTTGGGTGTTCCGTGGGGCTTTTCAAATCTATGAATTTGTTACTGGTTAAGTCTCTGGGGATTAGGGAAGCACAGAGTGGGAGAGGAATATATCTTTTAGAATGAATAATAGAAATATTTGTCTGCTTGAAGCAATATGCTTCAGGTTTTCCTCTAAAGGAAAATCACAGAAGTGCTTCTTTGCCTTCTGTAGAACTTTTACTGCAGGTATGCTGCAGGTGAAAGTTCGTGTAGTGAATGGAAGTACAGACTTGGGATTCTGTAACGTGCCTGCAATGCACATACTAGAGGGCTGGTTGAGGAAAAAAGTCTTTGTTACAAGGATTAAAGCTCCTCTAGCAAAAGCTGTTGGAGATCCAACTCTAATCATACGTTCCCTCAACAAAACAAAAACCCAGTGAAAAAGATCTGATTAGCCTGTGATAAAGACCACACTGATGGACAAATAACAAGCTGAAATCAATGTGTGCTTCATAAGGCACTAGAAGATTAACCTCTTCAAAAGCTGCAGAAGGAATAATCTGATAACATTTTGTCAGAAGAAGAAGGGGAAGGGCAGGCATGATTGTGAATGTCACATCTTCCCCTCGCTGAAGACCGTGAGGGTCACCTTGCGTCTATATTGCTACACTTGCATGGAATTAACACAAATACTTCTGGAGACTTTCTCCAAAACTTGCGTGTAGAGCAGCTTAGCACAGCATTACCTCTGTTTGGCTCATGATTTCTTATGAAACTGCAGAGAGTGAGAACCAGCAGCCAAAGCATTAGCTGAAGTCTAATCTTGAAAGTAGTATTCGTGTAATTGGAGACGAGGCTGAACTGTGCTTAAAAAGTATAAAACCTGTCAAATTTCAGATGGATTTGATGGTATAAAGAGGGCAGTATCAGATCTTGGATTATAATTAGTCCATGTTACTTTTGCTTATCCCAAGTTCCAATCTGTAGAGAAGCAGACTTACGAAAAATTAGTAACAGGCTCATCTGTAATAGTATTTTTCTCTGTGGAATATGGTGATGGTTGGATGCCATTAAAATACATTAAGGCTCATTCTAATCAGTGATAGCCTTCTTCCCCTTCACATGCAAATAGTAAGTACCAAAAAAATCAACTATAGGAGGGGAGGCATAAACATAAATGTTGGCAGAAGAGTCAGGATTTAAATAAATGTTTTGTATAATGCGAATTTAAAACGTAGTGTTTGAAAAGCTGCTACCAAAGTAAACAGGAGCTGATGTGCTTGAAGTGCTCCTTATAACCGGTGCCATTTCCTTCTGGCTAAGCAGAAGCACACAGAGCTGTGCCCATCTGTTTGAGCTGGACTTTAGGAAGTACTTTGAGACTGAAGTTAAAGCCTCTATTCCTGAACATTGTGAAGCTTCTGACCTTAACTCTGAACCATCATTTCTGTGTCCGGCATGTTATAGATGAGGTTTTAACTGTCTTTAGTTAGCTGAAGTGGAAATTGTATCACACTTTGCCTTTTCTATTAGATGCTTTGCAGGTGAGGAAGCTATTGCATAAAGATGGCAAAATATAAGGAACTGATCTAATTTTTTATTAAGTAGTGTAAAAGTGAAAATCAGCAGTAATGGACAATTTCTGGTTTTCTGAGGTGTATTATGATTCCCCTCCCTGTGTAGACTGTATTTACAAGGTCTCTTTTCTGTATCCTGTACAATCGTAAAAAGAATACAAATCATGGTCACCACCATGGAAGTGCCTTTCCTCACCTGTGTAACTACATAGTTTCTAAATTCAATTCTGGAGGGCTCACCTCTTTCTGTAGCTCATGTCACTTTTTCTATGTTCTGCAGGATCAAAACCCTTCTCCTAACGTTCCTCGTGTTCCTGTTTCTGTCCCGGGCACTGGTGTGGGTGCCCAGGCTCCCAACGTCTCCATGGCAGGTAACCACAGCAACCCCCCTTATCTCAGCAATCAGCAGCAAGCAGCAGTGATGAAGCAGCACCAAATGCTGATGGACCAGCAGAAGCAGAGAGAGCAGCAACAAAAGCACTTGCTTATGGAGCAACAGAAGCAGCAATTCCTAATGGAGCAGAGACAGCAACATCTTCTGGCTGAGCAGGTGAGGGGTGTTAGGAATCTGGTTTCCTTTGCACTGATTTGCTTTGGTGGATGAAAAAGCACTTGAGATTTTGTTGGACAGTTATCACGTTAGAAGATAGGGGATGTAAACTGCAAAGCACTTTGGCATCGTAAGTATTATTGCTGTTTTATGTGTCTATAATAACCCAAATACGTAGCACTTGCTTGTAAAGACTTCTGCTGTTGTTACAAGGCACTGTGGTGAATGAAAATAATAAATTAGGTAGAATAGAGTAGTGTGAAGAACAAGACAATACATGGAGAGAATGTATCATACCAGCAATAGTGTAATTTGTGAAAGAAGAAAGGCAAATGGAATCAGAGCAAAAATAAAAGCTAAGGTTGAGATAGTGTTGATGTGTTCTGTAGGGCTTTAAAAGTGGAAGCAATGAGCAAGGGACTTTGCAAACTCATTGTGCCTTCTGCCTGTTTTCCCTCTGAGATCCACAGCAGTTCATGCTTCAGATTTGAAAACATCTTTGATTTGTTTATTTGGGGAAAATAATCAGGCATCTGCATCCAACTTGCATCTTATCCTGCCAAAGGAATTTAACGCTGCTGTCCATCAGACTGCAGAAAGCCGCTTTAGCCTCTCTCAGGGCAACAGGCTCCTTGTGTGAACATTTCTAAGCTTTAAACATTTTGCAAAGTCTTTCAGCTGGGAATCAGCCCAAAGGGCTTTGTTCCTGTCATCAGTGCTTTTCTGTGCTTTTAAAAGTCCATGCAGGCATGTTCCAGGCACTGGCACTGTACATAGAAATTATCAATGTCTGGAGGAAGGGGAAAATGAATTTTCAAAGAAGGTTTGAGACCCAGGGAGAACCTTAACATTTATTGCAGCAGTGGAGCTGTGCCAAGTCCTAGCAAATGGCTTTTTTGATCACCTGGAGACTTCTGTTAAAATTGAGAACTAGATTGAGGTGATAAAAAAAGCCCCTTAAGTCTGGAGCCAGTGTAGATAATAACATTCTAAAGAAAATTGTGTGAATGTTGGTAAAGGTGTATTTTTGATATTTGGGTAAAAACAATTTGGCTAAGGGAGTATCACAGTGGAAATATACTGCCAAAGTCGGAAGGACAAATAACGCTCAGAGCATCAGTAAAATAACAGTTTCTGTATGAGTTCTGGGATCTATAAACTTATATAAGTAAATGTAATACTTTTTAGTACATAATTCAGTTTTTGATGTAATTTTTGACATTTGATTGTTACTCCTCCAAAATATTAACAAACAGGTACCCTTTGAAAGAAGGTGGGGAGAAGGGACACAAAGGGCGTTGGCATCCTGCTAGTACTTCTGCTCCACTGGTTGATGGTGATTGTTAGAGCTCTAACAGAGCTCTTAAAGCTGTGTCCCAGTAGGTTTCCTTAGCTTAGTAATGGACCCAACAGCTGTCAGACCTCTCTGAATAGTGGAGTGGTATATTCACAGAGGGGGATAAGTAGCATATCTCAAACACAGTGTTGAAATACATACTTTTTTCCATTTTCCAACCTATTTTGCTTCTGCTTAGCCAGCGTGTCATTGTAGTAAATATCAGTGTTATGAAAATATTATATTCCTGTCCTAGTTGTGGTAACTTTGACTTCCACAACTTGCATCTTTGTATGTTGATACTGGGACTCTGATCCAAATAAGGAGCAGCTTTGCTTTAGAGCTGAGCAGACTTAGAAGCTGTATTGGCCACACTTCTTGGCCTTGTGGTGCCCAGTCAGGCTAGATCTCGACAGCATTCTAATTTGATATTTATTTCTTTGGATACACATGGTACTGGATATAGTTTTACAAAAGATCCTTGAATCAGTTGACATCCATTTTGCAGAATTACAATTTCAGGTAGTTTCAGTGCCATTCCCTGCCACTCTGAAGCTGTCTTTACATTTGGTATCCTGCGTTTTTATTATTTTTCCCATTGTGTTTTTTTTCTGAGCCAGGTTCTGCGACTCTTGGTTTTCTCAGAGCTATGGCATCTCTTGGCTTCTGTGGTCAGCCTCTTTCAGGTCTGACTGGTCCTGCAAGCAGCAGGTCCTTTCTGTCAAGCAGCCTGCCCTCTTCATTCCTCTGCGTGTCTCAACAGCTTCTTAGTTGTAGATGTTTCAGAAGGATGGCAGTAATGTCTGTCTGCCTATTTGTTACGTTGCACTAGTCTTTTCTTTAAAGGCTTATTGCTTATGTCTTTACCCCAGTACTCTTGGAAGGGACTTTCTGTCCCCTTCTGTGCTCTGTGTAGTTTTTCAGATAGATAGGTAGTTGTCCATTGTATCACTCCTTAGTTATCTCAGAATTTCAGTCTGCTTGAAGATAGCTGTGGAAGAAGAGCCAGAAATACTTTGCCTGATACATTTTGTATTATAAAAGCAGTCTGTTGGCTGTTTACACTGTCAAGATCTCTGAGTGTGCCATTAGTGCACGTACAAACACTCTTGATGTTCCCCTCAAGGCTTTAGATTTCATTTTCCCCAGAAATTTCCTAACAGAAAATTAGCTTGGTTTATTTTACAAATGGTTTTATCATAAAGCAGATACAGGTTGAATGTGCTTTTAAAGAGGCAGGGTTATTTTGATCCATTAGTAGGGTTTCTTTCAATTGTTTGATGCATTAAGAAAATGGTTTTGAGCATGATTGCAAAACTTGTATAGCTTCTGTTATAAACTTAGTTCTGCACTTTTCCATAATCTTCTAGAAAAACCTGTCTATAGAAGAATTTAGGCTTGTGAGTGGGTTTTTTCATTTTTTGGAAATAAGGGCTAGAAAATATTTAAGTGTTTAGTTTTTACTTTTCTGATGATACTTATGACTTGTACTTCTATTTGATTTCTAAGAGAGGTCTAAAATAAATTGATCTGGGGTAAAGAGCTAAAAAGGATGTGTAAATTTCTTTCATACACACTCTCTTTTGCTCTTTTTGTACCTGTTAGTGTCTTTAGAGTATTGCTAAAAATAATGTCTGTTGATTGTTAGTGATTAAAAGATTCTTAATCTCAGATTTTTCAGTGTTTTAAAGGTTGCACACATGCATTGCAGTAACTCCTGTAATACATGCTGTTGTCTTGAGTTCCTACTCTTGTCACTCATCAGATTAAGTTGACTGTGTTTGAGCCTTGAGAACCAAGGTTTGAAGTGACTTTATGTCACTTTCAGAAGCCCCTTTAATTACCAGCTCCACATGAAAGTATGCAGATACCTTGTTTTCATCCAAGGTAGTCACCCTTGGAAAAACTTGGCTTGTTTTCTTATTGTCTTACATTGGACCTTTCTTAGGAGAAGCAGCGGCAGCAGCAGGAGCAGCAGCTGCAGCGGCATCTGACTCGACCACCTCCCCAGTATCAGGATCAGCCGCAGAATCCATACCAGCAACCAGTTGGACAGTTCACAGGTGAGTAAACATGGCAATGGAAATAATGGCATTAGAAATAGCAGGAGTAAAAAAGAAGGCGTCTTCAAAGTTCCTGGGTTGGATAGCTTTTAATTAATTTATTACAACACCTTCCCACGTCACTGTGGGGTTCTGTTGCAAGGTAACAGCTTCCCCTGACCCAGATATGTGGGACAAGTTAAGCTTCTGATTCTTAACACTGCTTTGGAAATGGGTAAAAATTCTTCAGTACCTTCATTACTCTGAAGGCCTTTTTATACCACTATTTGCCTTTACAGGTTGTAAACTCTTCAAACTTTTATATATTAGGATTCTTTCTTTTTTTTTTGTCCTGAAGCTTAACATCACTGCTGCTTGTACCTGTCACAGGCTCTCATTAAAGAAAAATAAGGGATGTATTATTTCTCTCATCTTCTAGGATGAGTTTAACATTTTCTAATATTTTTATGCCTTCTACCTTTAGAAGGGAATGCAGTTTGAATTCTCTTCATTACATGTAGCGTCCTGCATGGGGTTTTTTTGGTAGGAGAAGCAGCTTGGTACATCTTCAGTATTAATGCTGATAAGTAAAATATCTTGTAACCCTTAAGCTGGAATAGCTTCATGAACGTAGAGAAGAGTAAAAACTCATCCCCTTACCTGAAAAATCTTTACTTAACAGGACACCAAGAAGCCACTTGTCTTTTTTCATAAACCTAGAGTACAAAAAAGTGGTCGTTCCCTACATTTTGTTCCCTTACTCTCTATATTCCCACAGAAATAAATAGTGAAGGGAAAAGATGCAAATAGAAACGTGATACCCTCATTCTGACAGAGTTTGTGACTATGCAGTGTCTATGCAGAGCTATGACTGGATTTTACTTAACTGAAACAACTCAATACCAATACAAAACCATTGTGTGTTAGCACAGTCATCAGTAGCATCCTTCAAATAATGCATGGAAGCATTTTGTTTCTGCTGCTATTTTTCTACAGAAATGCAGTAGAAATAGAGTAAAGAAACTTTTTTATTTGTTTACAAGAACAAAGGACTCTTTTTTTGCCTGTTTTTTTTTGCTGAGAAGAGATATTTTTGCCAAATCATCTTGCCTGGTTATCAGCAGTGCCTGTTAACACAGCAAATATTTCATTGTGGAAATCCAAAAGATACTTGACCAAAAATTTCAGACAGTTATATGAAGTTAAAGAAATTTCTGGAATTGGGAAAACACAGGAGTGGGAACCCTACAGTTGTACAATAAGAGATATGCAGTGTGTGCATGGCATAACTGACAATGTATGTGTGCAGTAAGTGGTAGTTTTTAACAGCCTCGCATGCACTTCAAAGTCTGTGTGTATACCTTTGTTCACAAAGAAATATCAGAGTCCTGCTTTAAAGTCTAATTTTTTGTTTTAATTGATGATGCTGAACTCTCAGAAGTGGTATTCAGATTTTTTAGGACATTGGCATATCTGTGTTTGTGATCAAGGTGGAGGTGCTAACTGGAGCAACAGCTGACACTCTTTAATTAAAGTACTGCTGTTTGTGTGTTGGTTGCATTGGTTGGCTTATACAAATGCAGCTGCACCTCTGTTCTGGATTACAGTGTCCACAGGCCTGGCTTGGCTCTGCTTGAAGCGAGGTATTTGATGTACAAAATACTGCTTTGTATTTCAGGGTCATCTTCAGCCATGCCCGGGGTCAGTAATTTAGGACAATCCAGCTCCAGTAGTCCACGGATGTTTCCTCAGACCCAGAACATGATTCAGATGGGACCTGCACACAGTTCTGTTCCTCCACTCCAGTCGGGCTCCAGTCAGCAGGACCGGGGGGTGACTCAGTATACCAATATGCAAAACATTCAGCGAGGGGGATTATACAACTTGGCGTCTGGTATGACACAGATGGTTCCCCAGCATGCAACTCAGAGTGCCAACGGACAGCCACCGATGCAGAGACAAGGCAGCTTGGGCCAGGGTGCTGCTGTTCCTGCTGGGTATGGGCAGAATACCTTAGCAAACTCAAGTATTTCTCAGCAGCACAATAAAGGTGGTCTGAATCCAACCTTATCTAAGCCACAGATGGCAAGAGTACCAGCTGCTATGGGGGCTCAAAATCCGTCTTGGCAGCACCAAGGTATCCCTAATATTAACAACCAGACACAAGCAAACAGTGGCTTAGGACCGTTTACTGCCAGCTCCTCTTTCCACATGCAGCAAACTCATCTAAAGATGGCCAACCAACAGTTTGCCCAAGGAATGCCTCAGGTAAGCCTCAGCACCAGCAGACCGATGACCTCTATGAACGCTGCTGTCTCTGGGCAGATGTTGTCGTCATCTTTAGGTGCGCAGCAGCGGACAAACCCACCTACACAACAGCAGGTACCCTCACAGCAAGTCTTGCCTGGCATCAACCAGACTGTTCCAGATCTGAATGCTTTCAACCAGAACCCAAATCAGCAAATGCCCAACAGAGGTAATCTGCACTGTAGTCAAGGGTACCCTGTGAGGACAACCAGTCAAGAGCTGCCTTTTGCCTACAGCGGTCAGTCGGGCAATAACGGACTTCAGAACTTAACTGGTGACACAGATCTGATAGACTCATTGCTGAAAAACAGGACTTCAGAGGAGTGGATGAATGATCTGGATGAGTTGTTAGGAACTCATTAAAATGGGGCAGGGGTGGGGGTTCTACTTTTCTTTTTAATTATTTCATGAAATATAAACAACACTTGGACCAAAAAACCTGTGGCATTGAGGAGACTTGCAGGCATTAGAGGCAAATGGTTGGGAAAGGGACTGGAGCTGCTTCTCAATGAGTGTTGATAGGTGGTGATGGTGCACCAAGCAGGTCTGCAGGAGTAGTGCGCTTTAGCTTGGTGTCTCTAAGGAGTCGCACACTTGAACAGGTCAAAAAATCCTGTGCATGTCCTCGCCAGCCTTTCAGAAATCTCACTTGCAGTGTTCTAAAATGAATTTTTTTAATTATTTAAAAGTAAAAACAAAATTCCACAAGAAATAGTGCAGAAAGAAAGCAGATAGTTGCACAAATTGTGTTTAGGGCTTAGTCTCCTGCAGGTAGTACTTGCAATAATTATTTGTTCATAGCTTGACATTCTGTTGTAGTACTGTCCATCCAACTTCTGACTTTTTATTTGAGAAGAGGCTGTATGCACCTGAGTATGCTTGCAAAATGTTTTGAGTTGTTTCTTTTCCCCATTGCAGAAGCATGTGCCTGTACTCTCAATAAGCAAGTGATATTTCACAGTAAATATTGCTAGATGCTGGTAATAGATGAAAGAAAGTATTAAAACCTGGCCAGTTAGTCTAGGTAGTCATCTTAATAGATTGTAGTCTTTTAAGCTGCAGTTTGCACTCTGTTGTAGAGAGGCACAGTTCTTGGCTTGTACCTTGCTGTGTTTAAAGGGGGAATTTCTTATGGGAGAACTTTTAAACTATAGTAGGTTTAACATGAATTGTAAAGCCATTTACTTTGCACCTGTTTCTTCATAACTTATTTCCAAAGGTAGTTGTATTTAAATGAAGGCTTTGCTTCATGACAGCTCATCTAGTTTTCTTTGTTGTAAAAAGTAAAACTAACTTTTGAGATCAGTTCATTCCCCAAGGTTAGCAATGAGCACAAGACTTTGTCACTTCAAGACAAAAATGAGGAAAAAGGAATTTGGCTGAGAGGTGGGAAGTCCTTATCAGCAATAATAGCACAGGCAGCCTGGGAGGATACTTGTATCAGGGTTGCTCCAATATGGAAGTCTCCCCCTTTAAATACCTTTTTGTTTTTTTTTAATTACTGGGTTACGAGTTTGATAATGTTTCTATAGACTGGTGGATTCTTTAATAGCCCTTGAAGCTGGTTCTTCAGCTCAGCCTGAGGAGACCTCTCATCCGTATGTTTGGGTCAGTCCCAGAAAGGACAAAAACCACAGTGGGAACAGCCAATGTTCCAAAGTCCTTACTTTCTACCAAAAAAAATCCCTTATCCACCAACAAACCACCTTGCCTTAACCTTTATTTTAAAATTAAAGTTGAAAGCTTTTGTTTTAAATGCACAAATACCTCTTCCCTTCCGAAATCCACTGTTTTGGAAAACTCCTTTAAACTTTCTAACCAAACCCAGCATTGTGATTTAAAAGCAATTTCCTTCAACACAGACTGGCTTCTTCAGGAGTTTTCTGCACTGCAGAGATGTGTGAGAGGGTTTTTTCCAGAGTGGGTGAAGGGAAGTGAAAGATAACATTGATTTCAAAGAAGGAAAGTATTTTACTGTATCTGCAGCTCCTTTTGAGACAATTTGCACTTTTAAAAACTGCTTTTTTAACACTAATACTTTAACCCTTTCCAAATATGCATGGAACATGGTTTGTCCAGCACACTTACCTAGTGTGGATGAATTGCGCTCTGTTGAACAGATTTGATGTTGTATCATGTTGAACTGTGGGTGAAAGATGTGCATTGATCAGTGGGTCCCACCGTTGAATAGTGGATAAAACTTCACTGAAGCAGACTTAATCCCTCATAGAGCTTTTGATAACATAAAGATTGTCCTTGGATGGGAAGATGAAGGTGTTAGTCAATGACACTTCTGGTATTTTCTAGAATAAGTAGTTGAGATGCAAATAACTGATGCTAACTTTTCTTATACTGGCAATGTAAGAAAAGAGCTAGTGAGTTTGGTTTACTATCTCAGTTAAACCAAAACCTGGTCCAAGGTAAGTGTCACTAGAAGAGTATAGATATAAACTAGCAATGGCAGGGGAAGGAGTGTTTGCTGTATTTTTATTTCTAAGGGTTAACTTTGCACCAGTGTGCCTTCCCTTCCTGTTGGGGGTGCTTGGGACCTCAGAATTTCAAGTGACATCCTTCTGTGTCACTAGTTTTTTCTCCCCCTTACAAACACTTGAGAGAAATAACAGGGTAGTAGGATTCAGCTTCTCTTTCTTCCCTGTTTAGGTTGTGGTGAAATCTGCTGCGTTTTCCAGTAGATTTTGCACACAGGCTTTGTTCTGAATAAGTCAAAAAACAATCCATGCAGTTGTGATTTTCTTAATTGGAGGAAAGGAGCATCTGCTGTTTGCATTATTACTACCAAAAAAAAAGCAATCCAACTAACTGTCCAGGAAAATGCAGATGTACTCTTTCCTCCACTGTTTCTGGAAGCTAAGGTGGATATTGCCCTGCTTGACCAGAGGGTTTGTTCAGGAAGGTATCTAGGTTCGATGACAGGGCCTTTTCATGGTACTGTTGAAGTAAAATTAAGTGTAGTTCTAGGCAAACTGGCTTATAATGCCCATTGGTCTTCATATGTGAACAGGATCCAAACAGCATTTAACCTGCTAGGAAAAGCAGCCATCCCTTCTGGTTTTGGTCTCTGTCCACATAAAGTGATCAGACCGTTGGAAAGATGGTGTCACTGTAACAAAGTGGAAACAGTTCAATGGAAATGAACATACAGTCTAGATGTATATAGGTGCATGGGTAGGGCTGGGCTTTGCCTTTATGCCCTTGAACATGTAGCTGTCTATATATGCACTTGGGCTTTCCATTTGCTGCAGCTTCAGAGCAATAAAACGTATCTCCCCTGAACTGTACCTAGCCAGCCGCCCATGGCTTTATTTATAAACTGCGGTTTTGGTTGGGTAGGGAAGGTGAGAGTGTCACTGTGCAACATCCACTGCCTTCCAAAAACCACGATTCAATTGAAAAGGGTGCTCAAAATTTTGTTATACACATTTCCTTTGTGTAAATAAATGTTTACAATTTTATATTAAAGATTTGAATAAGAGTTAGATCTTCTGACTGTATATTTTTTACTTTTTATAGATTTTAAAACTATAATTCTTTATATATGTGTTTGGGGGGTATTATGGTAAGTTTTATGCTTGTAAATGGAGAACAGTTGAATTTGATGCTAACCTTTATGAATTTTTGTCATTGAAATGTATAAAGAGTCCATTAATCCCCTTATTCTTTTACTACAATTACTGGTGCACACCAAAAAGAAATCCTTCACTTCTGTTTTATCATTATAAAATAAATATTTTGCTAGTGTATTAAACATACATGGTGTGACTTTATACATTTGTGTGAGCTGAGCAGAGTTCAGCATTGTTGTTCCTAGTGACATGGTTCCCTTCATCGCAACACACAGTTTTGGTCAGCCTGCTACTAGGGCTCAAATTCTTCTGCTGTGTCTTATCAATTCTTAGAGTGTCAGAAAGTCCAACTAAACGGGCCAGAACTGGATAATGAGGCTTTGGAAAACTTCAGTTTGAAAACAAGGCCTGATGCTACACCCACTGCTTCTGGTCTGTTGGGTTTTTAGTGCAGCCGTATGCCTTAAGGTAGGAGATGGGACTGCAGAGGGGGTTGTTGCTGGTGAAAAAGATGTTGATGACCACTGAGACCTCACATGTGCAAAACTGCAGAGTTCCAAAAATAGGCTCAGATGCCCTCAAAATAACAGGCCTTAGAGGATCAACCGGATTTCCTTGATTCTTGTAAAAAGACAAGGATTATGTGTGTTTGATGTAGGCAGACGGCATACTAAGAAACGGCACCCCACTGAGAAACAAGGAACATTTACTCCAACCACGAGTTAATGTTTCTGAACGGGGAACAAAATACTGGCTTGAAGCTGGTAAGGTCCCCAAGCCACTGCATAGAGCTGGTGGGTTGAAGGGGCTGTGGAAAATAGTAGCAAATAGGTCTTTCAGATGCTGCTGGATTGTTGATGGACACTTACCTCTGTGTTGGTTAGAAGAGAGGTGAAGCAAGGAGCTGTGGTCCAATCAGCGCCCAAAGGAGCCCGGCTTTGGTGGTGTGTGTTTGGATGTTAATACGTTCTTGTTAACAAGTTATTACTTGACAAATTACACCGAATGGAGCATTTCAAAGCAGTTCTTGTAGTGAATCATACCACCTGCAGCAGACCCAAGAATTCAGTTCCTTGCATGTAGTGTTTCCTGTTTGTCAAGTGCGCCTTTTAACTGATGATATCTACTCATAAGTTCTAAACTAGTATCTTCAATCTCTCTAACCACAGATTTAGCAGTAGTGATAAAGAAGAATTTGCAAAGTGTGACACATGCTTTTCTTTCAAAGACTGTATTTGTTTTACATGTTACTATGATTTCAAGCATCCCCCTATGGAACAAGGGTTTTAATCAGCTTCAAACAGTGAGGAATCCTTCTCCAAGCATTGGAGCTGGTGTTTTATACAGCTATTGCGTGTAAAGCCCCAGCCTTCACATTTCCTCACAAGGTGCACCCTGACTTTCTATTTCGTGTATATTCCTACTCTACAAGTTGTGAGTTGTGTTTGGGGGCAGGAGAGGACCTGTGACTTCAGGAGCTTATGAAGAACTAAATGTAATAATAATTAGCAATACCAGGATGAGCTGCTTCTAGCCTGTGGGCAACAGTGACGTTCACATACACTATAGCTTTTGCTTTATTGTCCCCTTAAAACTGCTGCATTGTATTTAATGTTGAGTGGAATGGACATTTCCCAAACTGTCCCCTGTTGAAGTGACCTCTATGTTTTTCCAAAGATTTTAAGGATTCTCAGCTCAGAAACAGATTTATTTATTTATTTAGCACTTGATGTTAGTGTTTTCCCTGAGGCAAATGTCAATCTGTAATGGAAATGTTTTCTAAAGCCTGGATTTGCTGAAATGGTGTGAGCACAAGTAGATTCCTGGTGGTATATCCCCTCTGACTTTCATCCCCAGATGAAATCTTGGGTCACCAATAGACTCTCTTAAGGTTAATTGTTTTATTTCTATTTCAGTCTGGGTCTGCTAGCAGCTTGGAGGATCTGAAGTCCCATCATATGAGTGTTTTGCAGAGAAAGGCAGCAGTTTTGCTACTTAAATGCATGGCTTTTTTTTTACAGAAAGTGTGCAGTTGTATATTTGAATTAGGTTTTCAACATGATCATTGAGGTGATGAAGAGCCAAACCAGGAGAACAAACTTGCTGCCTCCCACAGGAGAAACTGGAAGTCTGCTTGTCGGTATTGTACATGAATTCTGTACAGAGGTTTTGGGAGGGGACTATAGACAGAGAAATGCAATGGCTCAACCACATCCTGTGCCCTCTCTTCACCAAAACTAAGGGAAAACATTAGTTGATAATGACTGATGCCTTTCTTCTCCTTTTTGGTTTTAAAAACTTCAAACTCAGAATAGCCTTACCCACATAAAGTTGCTCCAAAAGACAGGATAACTTTCTGAACTGATGCATATTTTGCTTTTGTGGAGTGGGGAAAAATGCTACTCATGGCTAAAATATTGCTGGTTTCCAAATTTTGCATTTTACAGTTACAATTCTAATGTAAGGGTAATGTTTCTGAGAGTCCACGTGTTTCTACATCTTCTGCTGCCTTCCATTTGGAACTGAGAAGTTTCAGTTTGTATGTTAGCCAGGAAAAGGTTTATATGACAGAATAGTAAAAACATCAGAAAACCACAATAAGTGACCGAGTGCTAGAAAAAAACCATGCTCTTATTTGGTAAACTTACAGTATTAATAGGATAAAATATGTGAATGCTCTTAAAAATTCAGAATCCAGTAACAGAATTAAGCTCGTAGACTCCTAGCTGGAGTCTAGAAAAACCTTCCATGTGATCAACTCCACTACTTGGAATAAGAGCAGAAGGTCAAGGCATTAATTTGTAAATGCTCATTAATAATTTTTACAACCTCACACATAATTTAGATGCTTTAGAGCTGATGAAAACTAGCAGCAAAAGGGCTGGAAAAAGTCTTGTTATCTTTCCACTGCCAGCACCATAGAATTCAGTCATGGTACCAAGTCTGTAAATACAACAGGAAGGATTTCTCAGTTTATGCATGCAGAACTTCGTGCTGTTCCAGAAGACACTGGTCTGAAATCACCATTTCCTGGTGACTGGCTGCTTTGGGAAATGGTGTGACGTGGAGAGAGTTAAGGGGTGGAGGTGGAAACACATGTTGCTGCAGAGGAACACCAGAGCCCTAGTGGTGTCCTGCAGAGAGGGCTGGGGAGCATCTGTACTCGTCACATCTGCTTGGGGTTTGGGCCACCATCAGCAGCATGAGGCATCAGATAGACCTGCTGGCCACTGTCACAGTTTTGGGAGTGCTGGAGCAAGGTAAATGTCTTTTCTGTAATACTAGGTAGTATTAAGCTAATTGTATTAAACTTTGTGGAACTCGATTCCTGTGTTTTGCTGGGAGTCTGTGGAGTAAAAGTTGCTGTTTTCCAACATGGTATAAAGATGCAAACGTTTGGCTGTTCATGGCAGAAGTGTTGTCGTGGATGCCCGTTACTCAATAGGGACTGCAATGATCCACAAACCTCAAAGGCAGCATCCTAGAAGGAAATGAGATTTAAGTTTTACTTCTAAGTTTAAACCAATTTCAACGATAGAATGTATTCAAAGTAAAGTATTTTCTGTGATTGAATTTTAGCAGGTGATTTGTAACTTAAGAGCAGCTGGAGGTGGCCAAAACAAAGGCAGGTTAATAAATATGTTGATGAAGAGGTCAGTGTACAAGCATATATTGGTTGTCTACGGAAAAGCGCATGTAGTTGCCTGTGACCAATGCTGTTAGGTGTTACGCAGCTCAGCTGCACAGAGCGGATGACAGGATGAGCTGACAGTAATTTAGAAACTAATGCAAAACCCCTTCTGGTCTGAAACACACGGACATCTTCAGAGAAACTCGGTAACTTCTTGTCATTTCCACAGATGGGTTTGGTTTAGACCACTTAGAAAGGAGCATTGTCAAGCTCTGTCCACCTCTTGTGTTTAATCATAGATCCTTTGGGCAAAGGCCTTTCCCACCTGGGCTTCAGGAGGGCCATGGAAGGGGACATTCCCCCTGCCTGGGGTGGGGACAGAGCCCCCATCTTACTAAAATCTTCCCATTTCAACAAGGCAAGGTTGGTTTGTGGGTTTTTAATTACTGAATTAATTTGCTGTAGAGCTATCACACCTCTGCTTACAAACGGATGTGAATCTCTGAGCAGCCTGAGGTATTTTTAGCCATCAGATGATCCATCTCTTAATATAAGCATTATTTAAAACACAGGCTCCTTGAAGAATACAGCTCAAGATTTCTGAGTTATCAGTAATTTCCCCTCGAACAATTTACAGAGAAATATCTGCAACTAGAAACAGAAGATACTTCTGTTACATGAATTCTGTTTGTTACTAAGTGGGGATGGAGGGAGTGTTTAGTGTGCAAAGAGAAGACGTGAAAAGAACTTGAAATTGAGTTATGGAAATGCTGCTAAGCCCTTTCCACTGGGAAACCCTCAGTAGCAAATCCCCACATAGCAGTTTTGTCTCAAATAAATACATTTGCTTTATGAGAGCTTCAGGAGTTTTTTCACAGGTTGCAGCCTTAGGCATTTAACTTTCATCCTAGGCAAACCACACATAGGTGTGAAGCCAGCAGGTAAATAGCAAGCAACGTCACCCTCTTATCTGTGTTAAATTGGGTAAAATATCCTCATTTAATGGTCTGTGCATGGGAAGTGAAGGAGCAATTACAAAATGCTGCGTGTTTCCTTTCCCTCTACTAGTATGAACTACGTGTGCCCTGTGTCACCTTGAGTCAGAGCTGTGCGGTAGCTTTTCTTGTGTAGTTTGAAATGCTGTTCTGTAGGTGAGTGACACATCTGAAGTTCATTCTGAGAAGGCAGAGCACTGAAACATGACGTGTGCTGTACGTACTGATCCTCCTCCATCACATCCTGATGTAGGAGACCTGGGTTGATGGCTGAGCTTAGTACAGGGGTGGTTGATTTTTAGCTTTTCTTTGTGTTTCCTGGGAGCTCACACTTTCCACGTTCTTTCAAGTAACTTTTTCCTTTTCTAATTTAGTTATGCTCAGGTTAGCAAAGCTCTCAGTTTAGTGCCCTGTGGTGCGTGCCCCTGCCCTGTATTGAACACCGTACTAGAGAGCAGAACCATGGTTTAGGTGGCTTTTCCCCCCCCCTTTTTATGACTTAAAAGGAAATAAAGTTTATGCAGTGTTACCGGCTGCCAGTCCCCACAGAGCTTGTTTGCCAGGTTCTTTCAAATGTGACAGGTATCAGCTGTAATGTGATTTGCCAAGTTTGTGGACATAATTAAATAGAGAATGAAAGTCTGGCTGAGGAGCAAAGTGCTCAGCCCGTGTGAGCCACATGGGAACCTATCGAGACATTTAACCTGGAGACATGACCCACAGATGACTAGATTGAAAGGTTCTGCAGAGGAGGTTGAACTCTTTTCCCTAAAAGTCCATGGTGAGAAGGCTTTAGCAGTGTGGGTTTTTCAACTCGTTCTGAGACGGTGATTTGAGGGTGATTCTTCATCCTTAATGCTTCAGCCGTACACCAGGTTTAGAGGACAGCTAACCATTCCCTAAAGGCTCTTACTCCTCTTGGGGGTTGTTTTATATTATTTGATTTATGTATTAAGCCCTAGGCATACAGGATTGGTTGCTGGACTTGTCTGGATATTTGCCCCTGTATACAAGCAAGATGTTAAGCATAGAGTTGATGGAGTGAGTTGGTCTGCTATGTCTCTTGCCATGCTCCTTAGGAGGGGTGCACATGGCACCAAGCAGGATGAAGATCGTTGCCCAGTGCAGTCAGGCTTATGCCACAAGCCAGTGCTATGCATTGATGCAGTAATTTTAGCTCAGTCTATTTCTTGAGCAGTGACTGGGACGAGACCCTGAGAGCGTTAAATAGTTGTATCTGTCTTGTCTTTAATCTTGCAGCATCTGTCTCTACTTTCCCTCCTCTATCCTGCTGTTCTGCTTTTATCTTTGTTAGAATGAGACAGTCCACAAGGCATTCCTTGCAGCCTGGCTCCCTGTTCAGTGCTCTGGAAACGCTGCTGCATTAGGACCTTGCTAATCCAGGTGACTCCTCAGCAGCACGCAGCCACAGCCACCAAAGTGACTGTTTTTATAATGTATTTGTCTTCTACAGGAAAAGTCTCATTTTCAACAAGACCAGCAGTGTAGCAGTGCACCTAAATATGAACACTTGAAACATCAGCAATGTGGGAGTAAGAACTTCCATCAAAGAGTGAAACAGTCCAGATCTTCATGTTAACAAGTTTTCGTTGGTTTGAAGTGGCTTTCCAGGTCCCTTACTAATGTACAAAGGAGTGATGTAACAGACAGAATGAGAACCTGGGGCCAGACTTGGCACAGGCTCTTAGCCATCGTTGGCAGCATGAATAAAGTGCAAGAAATAATCACACCCTTCCCCATTTCCTTCTGTTGCTGTGATTATGAGCATCTCTAATTGACTTAATGGCATCCCAGTGCTTCACAGTTTGGACGCTGCTCTGTGCAAAGCACCAGCCAGCACATTGGCTCTGTGGTGCTCTGCCAGCATAACCAGATCTGAATTTAAAGTATGAGCTTTTATTTTATTTCATTTATATGAAAACAATGGCACATTTATTCCTGGTCGTGTGTGACAGCCTGAACTATGAACCTAGGCAGTGCTGGCTCTTTTCTTCTAACCACTTGTTCGATTCCAGGTTAGGTAAGGTTTGGCTAAATACAGCGCTGCTGGACTGCTACCTTTCTGTGTTGTTCTTTCCTTTTACAGCCTATTTTGCACTGCAGGTGATCTATGCCCGGCGGCAGTACAGGATCTCACCTCCCAGGACAACAGGTCACCCTGAATTTGAGCGCATCTTCAGAGCTCAGTAAGACTTTGACTTCTCTGTGGTGAATCTAGATATGACTTGAGTCAAGTGTCATTGCCAGGAAGGACTGAAGTCATCCTCAAATCACCTTTTCACTTACTACCACTCATACTAAGTATTTTAAATTATGTCTTTTAAATGCTCTGTATGCAGAGGTCTGAGTGTGATTTGGACACTTTGTTCTGGCTGGAGTGTTTCTGTCCATCTGTGATAATCCTCCTTCTGGCACTGCGAGAGACAGCCACGTTACAAATTAGTGGCTGCATGAAAGAGGTGCATTAATGCATTATAATCGTTAAGTTTAATATTAATGTTGCCTCCAAATTAATAACCTAATATTTGCTTGTAAGTTGCTGCAGTTGAACTGCAGCAAAGGACCTTGCTGGCAGAATCATCCACGAGGTTGTTTTAGTTTTTGGCCTTATTTTAAGCCCTTGTCCTGTGAACATAGGGCAGGCCCCTGCTGAGGCTGATTCTTTTTGCTCTGTGCCTACGGAGAGAGCAATGCTTGAGCTGAACTGGAAACATTCACAGATCACTTCAGCTTCCAGCAAGCACCAGATTCTGTCTTTCATCTCAGTCATTCTGTTTCATAAGCAATTGAAAGGAATTGGCTGGAGCTGGCTTGAAGGGTAGTTCAAGCATGGCACTAAATCCTGAATAAAGCAGCTGCGCGTCCTTGCTGGTGAGTGGGAAACATTTGAGGAGTGACTTGGGGAAGAAGGAAAGAGGAAAGGGAAGGAAAGGAACAGGGAAGGAAGGACCTGGCTACAGATTCATAGAATCATAGAATAGTTTGTGTTGGGAAGGACCTTAAGATCATCTAGTTCCAACCCCCCTGCCATGAGCAGGGACACCACACACTAAACTATGTCGCCCAAGGCTCTGTCCAGCCTGGCCTTGAACACCACCAGGGTTGGAGCATTCACAACTTCCTTGGGCAACCTATTCCAGTGCCTCACCACCCTCACTGTGAAGAACTTCTTCCTTGTATCTAAGATTGCCTTCTGCTGAGTTTGATCTGGCAGAAGGTTTCCTCTTACAGCATGAGCTCCCTGAATTCTGTTAAGGAAGCTCTACCCATGCAGCTTCTCAGCTGCACTCACCCAGTGTCTCTGCAGGTGCTGTATATGAGTGTATGGTTTTAACTCTCATCTCTGGTTCTAATCAGGGCGAATTGCTCAGAGTACTTCCCAATCTTCATCTCACTCCTCTGGGTTGCTGGCATCTTCTTCCATCAAGGTAATGGGGATGGGGGGGGGAATCCCAACATGCACAAAGCAAGAAACCTAGTTTAAATCCCATTGTGACTCAGGCATGTCCTTTCTGTACCCATGAGTACAGAAAATCCCTTTGCTGTTAGTTTGGGAATGCAAAGTCCCCTTTGCCCTGACAGAAGAAGTGCCCAACTCCAGTGTGCACAAAGCTGCTGGTAGCAACCAAGCCAGTGTCCTGCCCAGAGAAGAGGTTTGGTGGCATTTGCAGCCCTTGCTCCTTCACCAGAGCCCAGCTCTGCCGCCAGCGCTGCTTCTCTTACATACGATCAGGTGGGAACAGGGTACAATGAGCTGGAGCAGAGCTGCAACATGAAACTCATCATCAGAATGAGAAACCATCACCCAAACAATTGGCCATCCGCCATCCATCCTGTACCAAGCAGGTAGGGTATTCAGCTGCCACCACAGAGAGGGTGAGAGGAAGGACCATGGATGGGAGTGTCGCAATCCCAAAACTGCTATCTGGGGGGAAGCAAAGAAGATCATCCGTCACCAAAAGGAAGGAGGAAAACCCATTTAAACTCCCACTGTGTTTTAAAGCCAAGTCCCTCTGGGGATCCTCGGCCCCGTCGGGACTCGGGTCCTGTCTCCCCGCAGGTATGGCTGCAGCATGTGGGCTGCTCTACCTCTGCACACGCTTCAGGTACTTCCAGGGCTACGCTGTGGCTGCGCAGGGACGGTGAGTACCCAGCTGGGGCTGCAGGTACCCCAAACCCACCAAGGGAGCCTGGTGTGGGATGCAGCCCTGGGGCAGGTTTCCTTACCACATCCTTCTCCTCCGCTCCTGTCCCTATGTGCTTGTGGCCTCTCCCCTGGCTCAGGAGGGTGCTTCATGCTTCATGCCCTGGGTCTGTTGGCGGTGTCTGATGGTGTTCTCCCTTTCCCCACGCAGGTTGGGGCCACTGTACGCCAGCGCCCGGGTGCTGTGGCTGGTGCTGGGGGTGGGGGGGGGCCGGGCTTCTGGCACACTTGCTAAAATTTTGGGGGTTACATATTCACCTTTCCAAGCAGAAACAGCCCGGTGAGAGGGGCCACGGCTCTCCCCAAACCCCCTGTTCACCCTCAGTGCTTACCTTTGAAGGGAGGTGGATGCTGGCACTGCTCTGCAAGTGGAGCTCCACTCTTCAGGGGGCATTGCCCTTCTAGAAAGCAAACGATGCCCAGCTTCTGCTCCTGATGATAAGCTTCACTGCCAGGTTTCGTAGCACTGTGCTCTCAAACCTCTAATACCTTTGGCATGGATTGACCTGCACAGTCATCACTCCTCCTTACTGCTGTAATGATCGATGTTGAAGGATCACACCACGGATATACCGAAAAATAAATCCCTTCTCTCAATAGAAATCAAGTAGAAATCACAGCAGAACCTGTGATTTCCAAAGATGGCTGGGGACTGAGCAGTGCTTTGGGAGTATCAGGTATTGGTGAGCACTAAGGAAGGCTTCATTTTGGGTGTAGGGGCTACAGCTGGCCCCTGGTCCCCAGGAATACTTACCAGTCCTGGAGAAGGGTACAGGGAGGCAGAACAAGTGCTTCCCTGCCACAAGTGACTGTCGCTGCCGCAACAAAGCTTTAAATTTAGCTTTTATTACAGTGCACATTATTTTATATATTCATATAGAGAGATGTACTTGAAAAATCAAATGTATCCAATAATAAAAAATACAGCACATGAAAGTAGTATAATGCATTCCAGTGTATAGCTGAAGAGACAGCGGGATTTACACTAATCCCTACTAGTTCTGAACTGGGCTACTTCTGCTTAACTGCTCTTTTCTCTTCCCCCCCCCAAAATAAATTTCACACCAATCAGTAACTGAAACAGTTCTTTTAAAAACCATGGTTTCTGCACTCAATCTCAAGGCATGAAGACACTGGAGACTTCACTGTGAGTGAAGGGGCTGTGTTCAATGCTGGCAGGCACAGTGTGGCATATTTCATAGTTCTTTTTGTTTTCCCTGCCATACTCGTAGCTCCAACCCCTTCGGATTCATCCTCCTCTGCTGAAGGAGGGTCAAGTCTTCACCCTCACTTAATCCTCAGCTGTGGCCAGGACTGTTCAGGGCAGACCTCGGTCCCTGCCTGTCTCCATCCCAGCACACCCATGGGGTCAGCCGGTGGGACTCATTGTGCCCAAGCACCCCAAGTACAGCCAGAGGTGGCCCCGTCCTGGGCTCTTTGTTCCCACACTTACCAAAGCTCATCCCGACCCCAAACCCCTGTGTCCGCGTGGCCTGAGCTCAGCAGCTGCAGCCACGATGGGCATCGCCCTCTGCTCGGGATACCGGGGTTTGCCTGGTTCTGCTCCTCTTCTGGAGCACAGGATGTCCTGGCCCTGCAGCTCGGGCTGGGGATGGCGGTGCCGGTTGGCGCTGCCCTTGCACCCGGGCGAGGCGCCGCGGGAGGAGGGAGCGGGAGGGGAGGGAGCAGGACAGGATCCATGTGTGTCCATCCACCCTTCCGCACGCCGGGTCACTCCGCTTTCTTGATGAAAATCTGCACACAGAGAGGGCCGGGATCAGAGGGAGCGGGGCAGGAGCCCCAGGACATCCCGCTGGTGATGGAGCCCGGCTTACCTCGCTCAAGATGATCCACACTGGGGAGTCAGTCTGGATGGACAGCCTGATGGCCTCCAGCGGCCCGAAGGATGGGTCCACCTCGCCCTCTGCAACGCCCTTGGAGAAGGAGCCTGGTGGGGAGAGCACAGGGGTGACACAGGGACAGTGTCCTGGCATCCAGCCCCTCATCCAAGGAGACCACAAACAGCCAGGGCAACCCTCTGCCTGCAGCTCCCCAACATGAGATGGGCTGAAAACCATCAGTGTGGACTGGATGTCAATACAGTGCAAAACGCTGTGCTTAGGGGAACAAAAAATCAGCTACACAAAACAAAATGAGGAGTATTTGGCTACACATCACTGCTGTGCAGAAACGGGGCAGAGTGGGACAGCACTGGCCTGGAAGAGACAAATGCTGGCTCAGGATCCATGCCATGGAGACAAAAATGTCCCATTTTTGGTTGTGATTTTATTATTTTTGTTTGAAATGTAACTGGAAGAAACCAGAGAGCACTGCAGAGGAATGCTAAAATGGCAAAAAGCTACACGTGCCAGGGACTTTAATTTGCCTATTTAAAATAAAAAGTCTTAGCAAGAACAAAGCTTTACCATGCACCAGCATTTCCCCATAGGCTGCAATGACTTGTTCTTGTCCAAGGGCAGGGCAAGCACTAAAACAAGCTCAGGTAGCAGGAGACAAAGTCCAAGCTTCCAGAGGTGTGAGGACTGAGACAAGCGATGGAGGGAAGGTGTGAAATTGCCCATGGTGGAGGTTTTTAACACCAGATTGGGCAAATGGATAATCTGAGTAATTTGGTCTCAGCTCTGAACAGAGAGAGACAGAAACACAGGATTGAAAACTACCTGAAGAGGACACCTAGTCCAAGAGGGAAGGGAGGGCAGTGGAGGAGAGGAGATGACAACTAAATCCTGTTCCAGCCTGGCTCCTGATGAGCAGAAATAACTCTTTGCCAAGCGAACAGTACTAAGGGTCTTGATTCCCGTGAAGGTGAGGCTTTGGGCTGTGTAATCCAACCCAGTGGGCAGCTGACCACCCCGCACCCTGCTGTACCTATCTGGATGTAGCCATCCAACGTCCTGCGGTATTTGAACACTGCACCTCTTCCCTCCTGCAAGGCTTCTTTATCCGACTGCAGGCTCTGTGGGAAGAAGAGAAGCGCTGTGCAAGGCCAGTAGCAAGAGCCATTCAAAAGCTCCAAGCAATAGCAGCAATCCTGGAGCTGCCCTCGCCAGCACCTTGTCCCATTGCCTGGCACCCTGAGCATCGTGCTCCAAAACAAGAGGACTTTCGGTGCCCTCATGCTGCTGCTTCCACTGCACCATCCTGGCTCCATCTCCACCTCTGCAGCCCTCCCGCCCATCTGGCATCCCCTCTGCAGGCAGGGATGGCTCCTACAGTGACTGCTCAGCGCAGCATCCCTGCTCCCAGGGTGGTACCACACGAGGCATGACCCCCAGGCAGCACTCTCAAAGGCACTTGAGTCTTGTAAAGATTTTCCTGACGCTTTGAGCAGTTCCCTTCTCTCAAACCTCTTGTGCTTCCCACTCCACCCCCAGCTCAATCCTCAATAAAACACTTACGTCAAACGGCAAAACCTCCACAGTCGTATTGAGGAGTTTGTCTTCTGGGTGCTCGATGTTCCCGCTGCGGAAGAAGAACCTGTGACACAGACCAAAGCCATGGAAACCCACACTGAGCGAGGGCAGACACGATGGCTTTCACCCCAACTGAACCACCAACCAGCGCAACCCATCAGGCACCTTCCCAAAAAGCCCATGAGCACATGGTTTGGAAGGAGACCTTCCGCACCAGATTAGCTACATCATGGATTGCTCATAAGTGCTTGAAATCAAAGGGCTCCAGCAAATGTGGCCCCACCAAAAAAGGGTTTGGTTGCCATCTGCCTGGAAAAGCACCACTTCCTCCTCCTGGGCAGACAAGCAGGAGACAGGCAAAACATTTAACATGAGCCAAAAGAGCAAAAGGAAAGTGTCTCTGCTGTCCCCCCACTGACCCTCCCAAAGCACTGGCCTTTCGATGCGGAGTGGTTTGAAGAATCTGAATCTGATGAAGTCTCCGGCAGTGGGAGTGAAGGCCCAGAAGAAGTCCTCCCGCAGGTAAGCCTTCTCCAAGGTGAAGTGCTGGTAGGTTTTCAGGCTGGTGCTCACCTCCGCGGGAGGGTTCACGTGCTCTTTCCGCAGGGCCTGCTTGCCAAAGTCCTTGTCCTTGGTAGGCACAAAGCAAAAAGGCAGGAAAGGATCATGAGTTGCTCTCCCCCATGAGGAACATGGGTTCCAGCAACAAGGCACTGCACACTGAAAGCTCTCTATTTTCACAGCACGGAAGGATGAGGGATGGAAGTGATCTGGGAAAGGCACCAGACAGGCAATGCGTGGCTGGATCCCAGGAGGACACAACGTCAGGAGAGGCAGCACAGAGAAGCACCACTGCTCTGCACTCGGATCCAGCACCAAGGAGCCCTTCATTGTCCAAGCATCCCTGTCCCAGAAGCGCTGCAAACAGTCCTTACACCTGAAGAGAAGGTTGCTGGGAGGCTGACAACAGCGTAAAACACTGGATTACACAGCCTGATGGGCACTGATACAAACTGGATTACATCAATCATTTACTTGGGGATCAGACACAGAGAGGACTGGGCACAGCCCAAGGATGTGTCTATGGGTCCTGCACATACAGCCTTGGGAAGCTTGATTTTGTTGATACTTAAACACACAAACAATTTGAACTCTAGTTCACCTATCAGCAAACCCCAGGAACAAGGAGTGGGGTGGAAAGGAAGTCAGACCGACCCAGGAGTTTTCCAGGGTTTTCCAGTAGATGCTTTGAAATCGATTGCCTGGATCATGGTTTGACACTCAGGATGGGCAGCCGGGACTCAAAAGCTTGCAGTGACTCTTGGTACATGACACTGCCATTCTGAGAAGGAGCCACATGAGCTCACTGTAATTCAGAATAAAACACCACCACTGATGTCCCACACCAAAAGCAGCCAGTTCCTGGGTGCCTGCAGGCCAGGCCTGGCACAAAGGCCATCTGCAGCTTGGACAGACTGCTGGTACCCACCTTCAGCTTCTGTATCTTCCCAGCCAAGGAGGAGTGGGTTCCCACGTGCTGGAAGAGCGAGGGCTTGAAGCGGATCCTCAGGTTTGCCTTCTGCCTGTCACAGTGTTTCTGAAACGAGACAATCCCTCAGTGCCCCAAACTTAAACATCTGCAGTCAACTGTGACCCACGACAAGAATGGACAAGGAGGAGTGATAAACATCCCTGCCTCCCCATCTCTGTGCCCTTCTGTGCTGGTTTGGCTTTCATTTGATAAGAGGGCTTCTAACCACACTCTGGAGGAACCTGACTGTAACTCTTGGCCACTCACTCGCCAGGCAGCCGCAGTGCCCAGGTTTATGTGCCAGATTTCTCCTTGCCAA